AAAAGGGTACCCTCGTGCACTGTTGATGGGAATGTAAATTGATAACAGCCACTATGGAGAACAGTATGGAGGTTCCTTAAAAAGCTAAAAATAGAACTACCATACAACCCAGCAATCCCACTACTGGGCATATACCCTGAGAAAACCATAATTCAAAAAGAGTCATGTACTACAATGTTCATTGCAGCTCTGTTTACAATAGCCAGGACATGGAAGCAACCCAAGTGTCCATCGACAGATGAATGGATAAAGAAGATGTGGCACGTATAAAGAATGGAATATTACTCAGCCATAAAAAGGAAAGAAATTGGGTCATTTGTAGAGTCATGGATGGACCTAGAGACTGTCATACAGAGTGAAGTATGTCAGAAAGAGAAAAACAAATATCGTATGCTAACATATATATATGGAATCCTAAAAAAATCAAAATGGTTCTGAAGAACCTAGGTGCAGGACAGGAATAAAGACGCAGTCGTAGAGAATGGACTTGAGGACATGGGGAGTGGGAAGGGTAAGCTAGGATGAAGTGAGAGAGTGGGATGGACATATAATACACTACCGAATGTAAAATAGATAGTGGAAAGCAGCCACATAGCACAGGGAGATCAGTTCGGTTCTTTGTGACCACCTAGAGGGGTGGGATAAGGAGGGTGGGAGGGAGACGCAAGAGGGAGGAGATATGGGGATATATGTATATGTATAGCTGGTTCACTTTGTTATAAAGCAGAAACTAACACACCATTGTAAAGCAATTATACTCCAATAAAGATGTTTAAAAAAAAAAGTAACAACAGTAAAACCCAACAAGCTGAATCCCACTAAAGCTATATAAAAATAGCTTTAGTGGTTTCATTTATTCAACGGTCTTTTCCTGAATGCCCACTATGTGCCAGGCATTACCACTGCACCACCAGGGAAGCCCAATGTGCTTCTTTTTTTTTAGTATTTGAATCTATGCCGTGTCTCATTTTAAAACAAAGGTACTGGGCTTCCCTGGTGGCGCAGTGGTTGAGAGTCCGCCTGCTGATGCAGGGGACGCACGTTCGTGCCCCGGTCCGGGAGGATCCCGCGTGCTGCGGAGCGGCTGGGCCCGTGAGCCATGGCCGCTGAGGCTGCATGTCCGGAGCCTGTGCTCTGCAGCGGCAGAGGCCACAGCAGTGAGAGACCCGCGTACCGCAAAAAAAAAAAAAAAAAGTGCATTAAAATTCTAGATGTCATTAATTCCACTTAGTCCATGAATAATTTCTTCCTTCAAACACCAAACATCTAAGAAACAGAGGAATTAAATATGTTTTATGCTAATAATAACAGCACATGAGTGGATGAAACGAATTGAAATGAAGGCATAAATGGTGGATTCTGTCTTACTCTCATATTCCCGTCTCAGAAAAGGAATGTAAATAAACAAAATAAATCTAAAGGGCTTTAAAATGATTCCATATCAAGATGCATTAGGTGATGCAACCATTTTATTCAAAGACAGCACAGCAATAAAATTATAAGCTTTCAAAGAGCAAATGAAAAATCCCTCACTGGACCTTCTGTTGGAGACTTTGGGCCATTGGACCTCAGGATAGGTCATTGTGTTTTGCATATGCTTCATAATACACTACTGAGTATTTCATCACTGTGATCAATAAAGCTTTATGGACTGACCTTGCAGATCAAGAAATCGAAATGCAGAGGTAAGTCTATAAAAGACAGAAAGGTATAGTATTGCAGTACTCATCCTTTTAATTTGCTTCTCACATTTCTCCCGAGCCATGGAAAGAATGGCCTACAAATTCTCATGAGCAATACCTAACACACTAATTATTTATTTCAACAGTCTTGCCCTTCATGAATATATTTGAAGATAAATATGAATGAAAGTTTTAATTATAGAGGTAGCCATCTCTTTTACTTTTTAAATAAAAGAAAAATGGCAGATCTATATGTAATCCAGTTATAGAGTCTAGAAATATAGACACTGTAGAATGCTATCAAGGACATCTTCAATTTGCAAGTAACAATAAAATAATATCTGTTTTTCAAAATTTAGGAACACTCTGAAGATTGATATGCAGCACTCTTCAGGATGGATTATTAATTAGAGGAAAAAGCAAATAGCAAAACAATATGTACTTTATTATCACATTTATGTAATTTACCTAAATTTCATTTATGTAAAGCAAATGCACAATTATATCCATACAAAATTAATTCATAATAAGGTTATATGGTGGTGCAGGTAACAGAGAGGATTGAAAAGGCAAGACAGAATTTTGTTTTGAGTGTACTGTTTGAAATGTGTGCAGTGAGAACATAGTCATAGAGCACCACTTTAGTACTTTAACTCTCATCAGTAGCAAATCACTTGCAAAACACTTCAGCACCTCCCTATGCTCCAGGCTCCTCATCCATAAAATGACAATTTCTAAGGTTCTGTCCTGCTTATTTCAATTATTTATCCAGTGATCAGATGTCAGGGGGCAACTGGGTCCGGCCCACATTAACCTAGTGGGCCCATGCTGGTCCTTAGCACTCCTCCTCTACATGATTATATGAAGTGATACAGCATTTCCAATGGGAGTGGCAAGACCACTTAGCAATGTGTCTATACAAGGCTCTTTCCTATAGAAAGTTAAGTCTTTTAGAAAAGGTTTCCAACTGTCTGGAGAAGGGACCCAACGGGAAGGTGACTTTTGTTTTGTTTTGTTTCTGTTTCTGTTTTTTAAATTCACGGTGCTTCATCTTCACTACCCAGCATCCAGCCTGAACTTGGACTCAGGGACTCAGTCTGTATGAGGGTCACACAGGGGCAAAAGCATAGAGATTGGCAAGGCAGTGGCATCGTCTAGGAAGTAATTAATCAAAAAGACTGGAGCCAAGATATGGACCCTAAGTGAGAACGGTGGGAACCACTTACCCCAGAAGAGAGGGACCCCATAGAGCCTGCTCCTGTTGTCAACCTTGGAAGACTCCCAGCAGAGGTGGCTAGAAATGGCCTCGGGAATCTAAAGGTGGTGATAGAGGGCCTTGAGTTGAGGAGATGCAGCCTCAGGTTAACAGAGGGAGGAGCCTCAGGCCATGTAAAGCCCGGGTAAGACACTGAGTCAGAACTGAGGAATGGAGGGCACTCTAAGAGTTATGCCACCCCGTTGGCGATGGGGAGCCCCGGGATAACTATTAGACAGAGGCTCCCTCTGACTTTGTCCTCTCGCGAGTTTGACCCGGGTGAGGGTCTTGGTGTATGGGGTACAACCTCAGCTCTGCGGAGGGAGGAATCCTTGATCCTGCAGTGATTCTGGGTGAAGACACCGAGTGCGTTAAGTACCCCAGAATACAAGGAGCCCCACAGAACCTCACTCCTGCTGTCGTTCCCGCGAGAACCAGGCACCACTTCGCGTGGGGGGAGGAGGCGAGGGGGAGCGGAGCGGAAGGGACACGCCCTGACGTCCGGGAGGACGGTTGGCGAAGGCAGATATTGAAAGCTGAGGGTTCTATTCGCGGAATGAGTAGCCCTGCAAGTGGTCAAGTGGCAAGGTGAAGACCCTGAACGAGGGAACTAACCACCCCAGAAGAGAGGGGCGGCCCGCTGAGTAAAGCCCCGTCCCTTTTGTCATCCCGGGGAGCCCCCGGAGTAACTAGAGCCTCAGGAATCTGAGGGCAGCATGGCCACTCGGGGCGTGGCCACGATTCAGCAGAGGGAGGAGGCCCTGGCACAGGGGAGTTTCAGGGTAAGGTGGGCAAGGGGAGTGAGGTGACCAGCTCCGCAGAGTAGAGGGGACGCTGCAGGTAAAAGTGCAGCCCCCCGTCTGCAGCCCTCGGCGCCGCGAGAATAACTGTCAGACTGAGTTGCCCCCTGACTTCCACCTTGGGTTTGCAGGAAAGTGAGGCCTGTTCTGAGGACTGCTGCCTCGGGTGAGCGGAGGGAGGAGTCTGAGACCCTGCCGGGAGTCAAGGTAAGATGTTGAGTGGGACTGAGGAGATTTCTTCCCCAGAATGGAAAAGGGTCCTCAGAATTCTCTTGTGAGTCCCAGGAGGAGGAGGGGCTGGCCAGGAGTGACTTCCTCTGACTTTCGGGATATGAGGATAATGATGATATTGTTCTGAGAGGTGTGGCCCCAAGTAATCAGGCCCTGCCAGAAATCAAGTTAAGATGCTGAGCAGGGACTGGGGGAATCACACCCTGGAGAACAGTGGGGGCCCCATAGAACCCTGTCCCTGTTGTCACACTGGGTAGGCCCTGGAATAGTTGTCAGACTTTGGTGCTTTCTGATTTTGGTTTTGGGAATCTGAGGGCTGTTGTCTCAAGTTAACAGAGAGAGGTGTCTCAGTCTCTGTCAAGGTCAAAAGTCCTGACCTTTAGTGAGGATTGTGGGGACCACACACATCAGAACAACAGAGCCCCAACAGCTGTGCTCCTTTGTCACTTCTGGGAGGCCCGGGCAGGTATGGCCCCATGAGCTGCCCCTCACTTCTCTCCCCTGTCTGTCTCCTCTGTGACTTCCTGGCTGAGAGGCTCTGAAAATAGCTGTCAGTGTGAGTTACCTCCTTTCTTCTTCGTAAGTCAAGTGTCTCAAGAAGATTTAAGCCTCTTTTTGAGGTGACAATCCTTGGGTCAGTAGAGGAAGGAGTCCCAGACACTCCCTGGGATCACAGTGAGGACTCTGAACAAAGACGGAGGGGACCACCCACTGCAGAACAGAAGGGATCCCACAGAGCTTGACCCCACCTGCCCTGTTATCAGCTTTAGGAAGCCTTGGGCTAGGTTGGCTGGCTGCACCCTGAAGAGCCTTCTCGCTCCCTCCTTTGCTTCCTACAGTTCAGGACAGGAGACCTGTGAGGCTCGAGTACTGCCCTAAGGAAAAGATGGATGGAAGCCACTCTTTTCAGAGCTGCCACAGTTGAGTTAACAGATGAGGCCACTCACATCCTCCCTTTCTCCCTAGGTGGTGGTCCTCTTTTACCCAATCTCCTGCCCACATTCCTGTCTGTTGCTGCCGACCAGAGTGAACATGTCTCAGGGTCAAGAGATTCCACATTGCACGCAGGAACAGCACCATGCCCTCAGTGAACCCCAGGGCCTGGAGGCTGCACAGGTCTCCAGGGTGCTGGAGGAGACCTCTCCCTCCTCCTTCCATACTCTAATGCTTGCCTATTTGAATGAGGCTCTGGCTGCTGGGGCACCCAGTACTCCCCACACTCCTCAGAGTGCCTACTCATGTTACACTGTCATTACAACCATCTCATCAAGCAAATCAGATGAGGTCTCCAGCAGCCAGGAAAGGGAGACTGGGTCAACTTCTTCCAAGTCTCTGTCAGAAACTGAGAACTTGCCCACAGACCCTCTAGATGAGAAGGTGATTTTTTTGGTGCAGTTCCTGGGGCAAAAGTATCAAATGAGAGATCTGATCACAAAGGCAGACATGATTGATGATATTATCAGAGAGTACAAGGATGACTTCCTTGAGATCCTCAGGAGAGCCTCTGAGTGCATAGGGCTGGTCTTTGGTATTGATGTGAAGCAAGTGGATCCCACCAGCCACAGCTATGCCCTCATCAACAAACTAAGCCTCACCTATGATCTGAGGCTCAGTGGTGACGAGGGCATGCCCAAGACCGGCCTCCTGATACCTCACCTATGATCCGAGGCTCAGTGGTGACGAGGGCATGCCCAAGACCGGCCTCCTGATAATTATCCTAGGTGTGATTTTCATGAAGGGCAATCGTGCCACTGAGGAGGAGATCTGGAAAGGGTTGAATATGATGGACTTATATTCTGGGAGGAAGCATTTTATCTTTGGGGAGCCCAGGAAGCTTATCACCAAAGATTTAGTGGAAGAACAGTACCTGGAGTACTGCCAGGTACCCAATAGCAATCCTCCACGCTATGAATCCTGTGGGGTCCAAGAGCCCATGATGAAGCCAGCAAAATGAAATTGCTAGAGTTTTTGACCAAGATCCATGAATATGACCCTACTTGCTTCCCATCCCAGTTTGAGGAGGCTTTGAGAGATGAAGGAGAGAGAGAGCCTGAGCTAGAGTTGCAACCAGGGCTGGCAATGCTGCCATGGCCAGGGCACTTTCCAGTGCCATATCCAGTAGCTCCTCCCAGCCCTAGTGAGGTCTGAGGCTGATTCTTCACTTTGTCATTGAAGAGAGCAGTTAACTTCCTAAGTAGTTGAGAGCTGGAGTGTGGCTGTTGGGAAACTATACTTTCTGTTTCTCTTCTATATAGTTAACATGGAGGTTTATTTTCTTTTTGGAGTGAGTTAGTTTTCAAATGTTCCTTTTAATATAACATTTCATTAGCTTCAGAATCTAAGTTTATGAATGACATTGGTCATACATTTATTGCTATTTATGGAATTTAAGAATACAAGTTTTGTTTGTTTGTAAAACAAATTGTAAAACTGACCATCTTCTTTGTGATCTGGAAGAGATAACATGACATTAGAATAGGCATTTCCTTGGCAGTGTCAAAGAACTCAGCAGTAAAATAGTTGGGATCAAGAATAAAAAAAAAACGAAAAGATGGTCAATTCTTGGCTTCCCTTATCCTGTTTAATCTTCTGTTCTGTAAAATTAGATGACATATATATGCCTTTGCTTATCTTGTTTAAGAATGTAAGAGAAATAAATCTTAATAAATTAGACCCCGTGTACAATGGCTCATTTATTCTCCAAACATTAAATCATCATGTGCTCTTTGGAAAGCACTGTGTTAATACTGGGCATGCCCAGATAAACAAGACTTACTACCCACCCATAGAATTTTAGAGTCTAGGAGCAGGAATCATGTAAAGACAATGGTGGATATCCTTTAATACCAAAAGAAAAATTAAAAAGGAATCAGGAGCTGGGGAGTCCATATGAGGGCTGTCAAATATAAATGTCCTGAGACAAGGCAGGCTGAGGCCTTGGGAAACTGCAAGTCCTCCACTGGGAGTTAATTTAATTTAATTTTTTTATTTTTATTGGAGTATAGTTGATTTGCAATGTTGTGTTAGTTTCAGATGTGCAGCAAAGTGAATCAGTTTTATATGTATATCTCCATTCTTTTTCAGATTCTTTTCCAATATAGGTCATTACAGGATATTGAGTAGAGTTCCCTGTGCTATACAGTAGGTCCTTGTTAGTTATCTATTTTATATATAGTAGTGTGTATATGTTAATTGAGCTCTATGATACACTAGATGAGGCTGGGGAAGTGGTGAGCCAGGGGTGTGTCTCAGAGTTGAGAGAGTTGGAATGGAATGGAAAACTGTTCTTACCAGTTACTTTGGGATCATGGGTAAACCAGATCCCTTCTAGGATAAGAATGGAAGATATCCTGCATTATTGTCCAAATGTAGTTGAACATAGTACACAAATTAGGCATTTTATGAGTATCATCTTCAAGGAGTTTGTGAGAAATAAAGGTGATACTTTCTTGAGCTGAGATACCTAGAAGCCACTGGGCTGGCACTCTTTGCCTTGGGCTGGGAGGTCCAGCGTCCACACCATTCAAGGGACATTTTAAATAGGTTATGTTCAGTAAAATTTGGCAAAATCTAAGCAAGGTCTGTATTTTTGGAGGAGGCAAACGAATGAAAATAGGGATGGACTGTTGGAAGGGCAACTGGGAGGGAAGGAAGGAGTTGGTCCTTGACACAAGTTCTAGGATCCAGTTGGGAAATACTCCCCCAAACCCAAATTAAATAATGCATCCCCTAATAAAGAAGATTTAGTAAGGCTTTCTTGGTAAGCAGCAATTTTGGCTGATTTGGTGGGCCATGTCCCAGAGCAGGGCATATTCTCTGACATCTGCTGGATAAATAAATCCCAGAGGGGAAAGTGCTAGTTCCTGGGGTTAAAATAATCATAATAATAACTGCCATCATTAAAAACCCATTGCATACCATGCACTGTACCAGGGGCTTTACATACAATACATACATTCTAAAAGTCCTACATACAAAACCCTTTCACAGATGAAGAACACAAGGCTTGGAGAGCTTGGGAATGTACCCAAGTTCGCAGGCCTAATATGTGACAGAGTTGGAACTAGACCTCTGGTTTGAATTCTTCTAGAGCCCATGCTATTCCACTCCTCTTAGCCTGAGGTCACCATTCTGTCTGTTAACTCATTTCTTACTATTCCATAATGCCTCTCGGGGGATAAAAAGTACCTTGTAGCCAAAGTACTAAAAGTGGGTATAAAGAAGGGATGTGAAAATGAGAATCAAACACAATTTGGAGATTGTTTGTTGGATTCATTTACCCAGGGTACTGTTACCTCAACACCAAGGTTCCTTGAGAGCTGCCTCTGATCAGTAGCTGGCATGTGTGTTCAGTCCGAACACTTTCCCACATTACAGCTCCCTTCCCCTGGGTCTTCCCCAGTGTGCCTTCCTGGCTAACTGTGTAACCTGATCTGCTGACCAGCTCTTCACTGCATCCTCCTCTGAACATTGCATCCTGATCCCAGTAGAGCAGACAGCCCAGAACCACCTTCCTTCTCCCTGACAGAGTATTCCAACTTCCTGCAGGCATTCTTGGCTGACATTTACTATGGGATCCCTCTGATAGCAATAGCCCCTTCTATGTAAAGTTCCCTTTAAACAGTGAAGTTTAGGTACATGGTCAATCTCCTATGGGCTTCTTGGCACAGAACATACTAGTTCCTGGGATGTAAACCTGAAGTAAGAGAAGTTTTTGAAACCATGTAACCATCTTGACGTTTGCAGTAGGATTTTTTTTTTTTTTTTTTTTTTGCAGTACGCGGGCCTCTCACTGCTGTGGCCCCTCCCATTGCGGAGCACAGGCTCCGGACGTGCAGGCCCAGCAGCCACGGCTCACGGGCCCAGCCGCTCTGTGGCATGTGGGATCTTCTCAGACCGGGGCACGAACCCGTGTCCCCTGCATCGGCAGGCGGACTCTCAACCACTGCGCCACCAGGGAAGCCCTGCAGTAGGATTTTAATGGGGTGCCATATTTGAGACTAGCCACTGAAAAGAGACAGCAATGAGTGAGCATATGTTGGTGGTCAAAAACCAAGGCTTCCCCCTTAAGAGGCAAATGGGGCAAGGTCATGGAGATCACTGTGTAAGCAAACAGCCAATGTAACTGGGCTGGGAACTATCTTTATGTCTCCTGGAGACAGATATTTCTTACCTTGTATGCAGTGTACCTCCTCTACTGAGGATGGGACTTTGTAAATAGATGGGGTTAGTGAATGACGGCAGACAGTTGAGACAGACCATGAGTACCATGCATAGTAGAAACGGATATACAATTTCAAGTAGGGGGAAATTGGAGGGGGGATGCCTTAGTGGCTAGTTAGCTCAGTGACTGTAAGAGGCTAGGTATGGACATGTCTTAAAAAACAATCAGGTGGTATCTTTAAACCCAGACTGCCTTCTATGCTTCCTGAATTTTTGGCATACCAGAGGTAAGTGTCCTGGGGCTGTGTTCGCTGGCATGTGTTGTGACCAGATAGGGGACTGGGAAAGGGTCAGACGTTTGCAGAGTGTGTGGTGTGCTTATAGAGATGGCACACTTCCTTATTAAACTGACAGGAGATTATGGAGATATGTGAGGTCCAAGGAGGGAAGCATTATGTACCATCCTGTTGGCAGCATCCCCACCTCCAAGATGAGGGTGTTAGGGCTTGGAAAGGAGACACCCATGGGAATTCTCAAGTTAGGTAAGGAGTTGTAACACTTTGGGTTTCCTCCGTGGAGGCAGAGACCCTGCCAGGATTATTTTGAATCAGTCAGTGTTACCTCTGGTACTCTGAGTCATTCATTCACCTGGAAAGCACTTACTGAACACATGCTGAAGGCAAACACTAAGTAAACAAAACAAAAGGAGATGGCAAGGCACTTGATTCAGGCTGTAGATGTGAGGATGGTGAGGAGGAGACAGATTTGAGTTTTAGGAGTTGGGGACTATGTGAAAGGGTGAGAGAGAGTCTGTAATGACCCTGAGTTCTGAAGGTTAGCTGACTAGGTAGAAGCTCTTCCTCTTAGCTGAGACTGAGGATAAAGGAGGAGGAAGAGTTGGTGGCAATATGAGTTGGAGGTAGAGATGAAGAAGGGTGTGGTGGATGAGGTCAGTGTGGGCCGTGTATGGTGAGGTTCTGCAGGCTGTCCAGGTGGAGACGTCCAGTGGGCAGTAGAAAACATAGGCCTGGCTATCGGGAGAGGGTCCCCAGCTGCATCTGGAGAGGTCATGTGAGGCCATGGGTGGAGGTAAAATCAAGTATTGTGCATATAGTGGCCTATATTCTGTCTCACCCCCTGCAAACACTGTTGGAAACCACAATTACACAAAACTTAATAAGTCCAGGGGAGAGTTTAAAGGGAGAAAGTACTCACCCAGAAAACCATCAGTAAGAGAAAGTTTTCCTGTGTTTCCTATAGCTCTCTTTTTTAAGCATGTACTTGTGCCTTTGCCTATAAATTGCCCATGCCTGTGTATTTGTGGCTTATGGTATATAAAAAGTTACATAGCATGAATTTTCAATCTCAGATCCGCCCTCTCAGGTGTCTTCTAGGATTCTACTCTTGATAGCCTTTGTTCAAGGCTAAGCTTACACCCACAATACACAGACAGTTATCTGCTCTAACTAATGTGTCTGTTCTAGGCAGCTGGCAACTCTGCAGTAGCTCAAGTTTCTCATGACATAGAGAGCAAAGGACTGGAGGCAGTCTTAGGCCCATGTCCCTGGAAGTTGGAATTTCATGACATATCTTTTATCTAACCGGGAGACTGTGATTGTCAAAATTTTAGATATGAGCCCACTCATTGCAGCTGAAGCTTTCCCCAGAAATCCAATCCATGAACATAAGGAAGGCCGAGCAGTCTGGGTAAAGTGGGGACTGCAAGCCCACAGCCCTTTCTTCCCCTGGGGACAGTGGGCCCTGACACCCACAGAACTCTTGGCTGCTGCCTGAACACTGCTGGGAAAGCTTGGTGCTAGAAGACCCTGCCTCAGGCATGGACTTCATCTAGGGTTGCCAGCCGTCCTGAACACACAGGACACATCCTCGATGTGATTTTGTCGTGCATTCTATATTGGCTTTTTCAGGAAACCCTTAATGTCCTGTATTCAGCTTTTCTCAATAAGTTACAAAAATTCAGCAGT